AGAAAACAAACTTATAGTTACCATAGGGGGAAGGGAAGGGTGGAGGGATAAATTGGGAGTTTGGGATTTGCAGATACTGACTACCATATATAAAATAGGTAAACAACCAGGTCCTACTGTATAACGTGGGGAACTATATTCAATATCTTATAATAGCCTATAATGAAAAGGAACACATATATATATAGTGATTCAGATATCACTATAGAATCACCATGCTATATACCAGCAATTAGCACAACATTGTACACCTCAATTAAAAAAGAAATAAGATTTTTTAATATGTAAAGAGCCTATATGTACTAGTAAGAAAAATTCCTACCTCAGCAGAAACATGGACAGAGTCCGGTGAGTAGATTATTCGCTGAAAAAGAAATTCAAGTGACTTACAAAATCTCTGGGTAAAACAGCTTTCCTTATTAATTGTCAAAGAAATAGAAATCTGCACAATAGTATTTATTCAAGTATGATTTATATTAGAAAAGGTAATAGAAACAACCTAAATGTTTAAAACAAAAGGATTGAAACTATGTGGTATGTTCATATGGAGGAATATTAAAATGCCATAAACAGAATCAGGTTTTGGAAAAATAGTGACATGGAAAAATGCTCATAATGCAATGTAAAGAAGAAAAAAAAGACAGAAAACTATCTTGTCATGGTCCCATTTTTTAAAAAGCCTGTTTTACAGAGAAGATAGACTCTTTTGGCAGCAAAACTTGATCTGAACTGATATAAAGCTGTCATACTTTCTACTATTTTTATAGTCATGAAAGCAATACCAACAGTCTGATTTATAAAAGGCCTTCAGAATAAAACAAGTTAATTAGAATTTTAGGTTACATTTATATTCCAAACTTCTTAGTACAATACATGTTGCCTATTAATATTTTATCTGTTGCCAAAATCAAGTCAGTAAGCCTTATTTTAGTAAGCCAATGATAGTTTGGAAGCTATATCCCTTTTTGAGTGTGCTGTGTAGAATGTTGCCATTTTTGTCTACTCTAATTATGCTTATTAGAAGAACTAGGTTTTAGAGTCAAATACATATGCTATATATACTGTTCCACTGATTTCATGAGTAATATTTAATGGAAATTATTTTTCAGTTTAATGAACATTATTCTGTGGGAAATTTAAATCCTCTCTCATCACAACAAGAAATTGGTAAGTGATTTGAAGTTTATTATATATAAAATCATGTTAACTTTCGCCCTTTGCATTTAGTTTGTCTCTAGCTGATTTTTTTAGGCCCTCAGTTTACTTTTTAAAGATTACTGTTACTTCTGTACCACTCACTAATTATTATTATTATTTTTTATCAATTTAGCTGCTTCTTTCATTGTTCTATGAAAACTTGCTTTTTCCTTTTTCCAGTATTACTAATGACTTAGCAGTTATGAAACATCATAAGTATTTTGCATTTATTCAGCATTTGATAGAGTTGACTACTCCTATCTTCTTTCTGGAGTTTTTGGATTTTTTTCTTATTTATCTGGTGCTTTCTTTTTATTGGATCTTCTTTTCTCTTTTATCCCTTGATTAATTCATTTATCCAGCATATAAATATAAATATATTTGCGTGTATATATAGTATATTTTATAACAAGTATTGCTTTTGGCTCTGATGATAGAATAGGATGCTGTCAGTGGAAGTGGTGAGAAGAGGTCAGATTTTGGTTATTAAGTTTTCTGAAGGTACAGCTGTAAGGATTTGCTTATAGACTGACTGGATGTAAGGATTAAGAGAAAGAAACAAGGATGATGCCAAGATGTTGACATTAATAACTGTTAAGAATGGAACTAACATTTATTGAAATATGGAAGGCTATAGAAAGTAATTTGAGATTGACAGATTCATTTTACAAGTGTTATCATTGAAAAGCCGATGTTAGATATCTAAATGACAGTACGTAGAAAATTTTATATTTGGATCTAGAATTCAGTGGGGTAGAGACATAATTTTGGAATTATCATAAATGGTATTAAATGAGACCAAAACAAATCTACCAATTGTAGACATTCTTTAAATGCCCACCATCTAAAATATTAAATCTATTTCTATTCTCCCCTTTGACATTCTCATTCACTTGACACTCATTCGCTTCAGCACTTTCAAATATTATGATACAGGTGATGACCAAATTTATATCTTTCCTCCTTGACTTCTCCTAAACTCCAGGACCTTAGTTTTTTTAGCCTTCCCCCTGCTCCAGTTTTATTGAGATAAAATCGTCATACATCACTGTATAAATTTAAGATGTGTAACAAAATGGTTTGATTTATACATACTGTGAAATGATTACCACACTAAATTTAGTTAGCATCCATCATCCCATATAGATACAATAAAAAGAAAAAGAAAGAAAAGAAAAAAATCTTTCTTTGTAATGAGAACTTTTAGGATTTAATCCCTTAACAATTTTTATGTGTATGACACAACAGTGTTAACTATTGTCATCGTAGTGTACATTACATCCCTAGTACTTATTTATCTTGTAACTGAAAGTTTGTACCTTTTGACCACCTTCCCCCAGTTTTCCCTCTCCCTACTCCCACCTCTGGTAATCACAAATCTGATCTCTTTTTCTGTGAGTTTGGTTTTCTCTTCTTTTTTTTTTTTGAGGTATCATTTGTAGGTGAGACCATACAGTATCTGACTTATTTCACTTAGTAAAATGCCCTTAAGGTCTATCCATGTTGTAAATGACAGGATTTTTCTCTTTTTCTCTTTCTGGCTTTTAGAATGACATTCTCCAGGAACATCCATGTTGCTGCAAATGGCGTTAAGAGATTTTTCTCATTTTTTATCACTAAAAATATTCATGTGTGTGTGTGTGTGTGTTTGTCTCACAACTTCTTTATCCATTCGTTTATCAATGCACACTTAGGCTGCTTCCATGTCTTGGCTATTATAAATAATGCTGCTATGAACATGGAGGTGCAGTTATCTTTTCCAGTTAGTGTTTTTGTTTCCTTTGGCTATATTTCCAGAAGTGGAATTGTTGGATCATATGGTAGTTCTATTTTTAATTTTTTGAGGAAACTCCCTACTGTTTTTTGCAGTGACTTTATCAGATTATAATCCCATGCCAGCATTTGTTACCTCTTGTCTTTCTGATGATGGCCATTCTAATAGACATGAGATGATATCTCGTTGTGGTTTTGATTTGCATTTCCCTAGTGGCTAGTGATATTGAGCATCTTTTCTTTTCATGTACCTTTTGGCCATTTGTATATTTCTTTGGAAAAATGTCCATTCAGGTGGTTTACCTATTTTAAATTGAATTATTATTATTATTATTATTATTATTATTATTATTATTATTATTATTATTATGCTGTTGAGTTGTATGAGTTCTTTATATATTTTAGATATTAACCCCTTATTGGATATATGGTTTCCAAATGTTTTCCCCACTCTATAGGTTATCTTTTCACATTGTTGATTGTTTCTTCTGTTGTGCAAAAGCTTTTTAGTTTGACGTAATCTCATTTATTTTTTATTTTGTTCCTTGTGCTTTAGGTGTCATATCCAAAAAGTTGTTGCCAAGACCCATATCAGGGAGCCTTTTTCCTGTATTTCTTCTAGGAGTTTCATGGTGTCAGGTCTTACATTTAAGTCTTTACTTTGTTTTAGCAGCTTTACATGTCCCACCTGTATTATTTTAATTCTTGTGAGTGGTGTAAGATAGGGATCTAGTTTCATTCTTTTATATATGAATATCCTATTTTCCTAGCATTGTTCATTGAAGAGACTCTTTTCTCCAATGAGTATTCTTGGATCCCTTGTCAAATATTAGTTAACCAAATATGCTTGGGTTTATTTCTTGGTTCTCAGTTCTGTTCCATTGGTTCCATTGATCTGTTTGTTTTTAATGCCAGTACTATACTATAGCTCTATAGTATAGCTTGAAGTCAGGAAGTGTAATTCCTCTCTCTTTGTTCTTTCTCAGGATTGCTTTGGCTTTTCTATTCTGGTTCCATATAAATTTTTGGATTGTTTTTTCTACTTTTGTTAAAGAAATGCCATTGGTATCTTGAAAGAGGTCACATAGAGTCTATAGATGGCTTTTAGTAGTATTGACATTTTAACAATATTAATACTTCTAATCCATGGCCATGGGATACCTTTCTGTTTATTTCTGTCTTCTTCAGTTTTTTCATCAATGTCTTGTAGTTTTTAGAGTAGAGGTCTCTCACATCCTTGGTTCAGTTTATTCCTAAATATTTAATTGATTTGGTGTAAATGGGATCATTTTCTTTCTTTCTTTTTTCAGATAATTTGTTATTAGTGTATCAAAACACTATTGATTTTTATGTTTATTAGTATCTTGCAACTTTACTGAATTTGTTGATTAGATGTAACAGTTTTTTTTTTGTGGAGTCTTTAGGATTTTCTGTATAGAAAACTGTGTCATTTGCAAATAGAGACAATTTTACCTCTCCCTTTCCAATTATGGTTCCTTTTATTTCTTTTTCTTGTCTGAATGCTCTGACAAGGATTCCCAATACTATGTTGAATGGGAGTGGTGTAAGAGTGGACATTCTTGTCTTGTTCCTGATCTTAAAGGAAAAGCTTTCAAACTTTTACTGTTGTGTATGATGTTAGCTGACGGCTTACCATGTGTGGCTTTTGTTATGTTTAGTATGTTGAAGTTAGTTTCTTCTACACATTTTTTAGAGGTTTTTTTATTATGAATGGGTTAAAATTTGTCACATTCTTTTTCTGCAACAGTTGAGATGATAGTATGTTTCTTTTCTTTCAATCTATTAATGTGATGTATTACATTTATTGATTGCATTGAACCATCCTTGCATCCCAGGTATAAATCCTGCTTGATCATGATAAATGATCCTTTTAATGTGCTGCTTATTTGGTTTGCTAGTATTTTATTGAGAATTTTTACATCCATATTTATCAGAGATATTGGTCTGTAGTTTTCTTTTCTGGTTGTGTCCTTTTCTGGCTTTAGTATGAAGGTAATGCTGGCCTTATAAAATGAGTTTGGGAATGGTCCCTCCTTTTCAATTTTTTAGAGGAGGTTGAAAAAGATAAACATTAATTCTTTAAATATTTGGCAAAATTCACCAGTGAAGCCATCTGGTAAGACTGTATTTCTTATTGTATAATTGATATCTCTTTGTATCTAGATATCTGTCAACATTAAAAACTCTGTATCAAAATCAAACTTGTTCTTCTTCTGAGGTACCTAATGGTATCTCCATTATTCTAGTTGCCAGGACTCAGAACGTCAGAGATCATTTTAACTTATTTCTGTGCCTATTCATTCAGCTAGTCATTAAGTTTTATCAGTTCTCTTTCTGAAATATTTATTTCCTTTTCTATTTTCATTATATTGAAATAATTATATTTCAGACTCTTATTACCATTCACATGGGCTATTGCAGTAATATCATAATTGGTCTTTTCATCCTTTCAGCTTACTAATATATCATAGCCCAATTAATCTTCTTTATGCATAATGTTGGCTTTTTCATTGCTCTAGTTAAATCCCTTTACTGACACCCCCATGGAGTTGCAAATTATGCTCCTAGTTTTCTAACCTATCTCCTAAGCCTTTTCTCTTATAAGAATAAGCTGTGTGTGCTTTGACCAGATTGAGGAACTTTCTGCATCCCAAATCTGCCCACACTTTTTTTGTTTGTTTGTTTGTTTTCTTTTTTTTTTTTTTTGAGATAGGGGGAGGGAAGTAACTAGGTTTATTTGAGGTACTGGAGATTGAACCCAGGACCTCATGCATGCTAAGCATGCACTCTAGCACTTTGAGCAATGCCTCCCCTGCCGACACTTTCTTGTCCACTTTTTTCTTCCTGAAATCCTTGACTTCCATCTCTTTCTGTCTTTTCAAGACTAAGTTTTCTTCTATAAAACCTTTTATTTTCCCCTTCAACATTCTGTTCCAAAAAGGTCTGTCCCTGAAAGGGACCATATGAAGGACATTCTCAAAACTATAAAACTTGGGACTCTGGTTGCCTAAAAGAAAGTAAAGAGTATATTATTTGACTAGTAAATAACTTAGTCTATGAAAACTTCCCAGATCAACACCAGACTGCCAGCAATTGGAATGGACTTTCCATTAGTCATTTTTAAATAAAGTAAAAGCAGAGTATCCATATTTAATTAGATTATTTCTAGGTTGAGACTTCTACATATACTATTACAAATTATAAATTTTAAAGATTTTTTATGAATTTTTTAGTCATTGTTATATAGAAATAAAATTTATTTTCTGTTTTGAAAAAAGAATCCCTCTCTTTTAAAAAAAATTCTGCCATATGTCATTATTTAAGAATATATATATAATCTCTTCTAATCAGATTCTTTGGGAGCAGGGACTCTGATTTTTTTATCTTTGAATTCTCCACAGCACCTAGACTACACAGTAATATTTCACAGTAATATATTATTTTATTTACAGTAATCATAGGAGTTTTATGAAGACTTCATATGCATTTCTTTTCTTCTGAAATTAAAATAATGTCAAGGGGAGATTCAAGATTTTTAGTTCTTTCCAGATCTACAGTTGTATTATAGTTATTTTCCTTTGTTTAAGTATTATGAATATGTACTGAAGTCAATCAAAAAATGAAGTGAGAAAGGGAAAGAGGAAGAACTCAAGGATCAATCTGTCCATCTGTCTGTCCTTCTGTCCATCCCTCTATCCATCTGCCCACTCACTTACCTACGCTACTGCTGATTTGGTTAGCTTTATTTCAAGCAAAATAACTGAGATGTTTAAAAATGTATGAAATTTTAAAGTGGCACAAAGTAAATTGTTTTGCTTAATGTACTCATTGAATTGGTTCTCTATGGAAAAAATATAGGTACTTTAAAGGACTTATTTCAAGTAAATGTTTGGATTACTGTACATTTAAAATTATTTAATAATAATTAAACTTACAATTAAGATATTGAAACATATTTTTATAGTTACAGTCTTAAATAATATAATGAATGAATACCTTTTTTAATGGCAGTTTTTGGAATCGTCAACCAAATAATTCTATATGTAAAGTTGATTTCAAAAATTCCTTTTAAAACTATAGAAACTTTTTCACTGTTGTGTCAGTTTCCTTGAACAATTCCACGAGCAGTATATAGTAGTTACTCAATAAATAATAGTTGAATAAATTTGACTTATGCACTATCTCTCAGATCCAGCATTTCTTTCTCTATTCCCTTTGCTATGATTTTGGATAAGGCTAAACTTTCACCATCTCTTTCCTGTTAGCTCTATTTCTAAACATTTTCCTGTTCCAGCCTTTCTACACATTCTCTCTTGATTAATCCTTATAAAGCAGTTCAAATTCTGTCTTACCTCTGCTTGAAAAATTTTAATGGCCTCATGTTACTACAAAATAAAGTCCAGATTCTATAGCTGGAAATTCATCAGTATTTCCAAGCTCATCCTGAATAATTCCTTAATAACCCTTTGTTATTTCTCAGGGCTTCTGATAACGTGAATTGACTTCTGTTGCCCTTATGTTTCCTTTGCGCACCTATTTCTGTGCCTCTGTGCTATTCTCTCCATTTGAGGTGTTTTACCCCTCTTTCTACCTTATATGCTAGTTCTTGATATGCTTGGGTTCAAATTACTTCAAGGTGAGGGTTAAATTTGAACCCGTTTAACCTTCCAGAGTACAAAGGACAATGCTTTTTGTACATAAGAGGAAAATAGTTAAGTACATGGTAATAGATACATGACTCAATGTTGCTCTATTTATTATATGCAGTATACTGTAATTTGGTATGTTATGCAAATTATGTAACTTAAATAGCATGATATTGTAATAATTGTCTTCTTTAGGAAACTTATTTGGGAAACCAGAAGGAGAAGATGCCTTTACTTTTTCTTTTCCATCAGACTCTTCAACTCATACATTTGGAGCTGGAAGAGATGATTTTAGTTTTCCGTTTTCATTTGAACAGGATCAAAACTCAACACCTTCTTCTGTAAAAGGTTTTTCATCCTCCTCACAAAATACAACTCAATTTACTTTTTTCTGAACTAGTTACTAATTTATTGAATTATTTTACTGCTTTGTAATCATCTAGGGCACAAATTTACATTATTACTTAAATATGATAGTAGCTTTCTTTTGTTGATTAAAGCAATAATGGGTTACCACAGTTACATTATTTGATTTTATTTATTTAAATATTGAAGGAAATTAAGCCTATGCCATCTACTTTCATTTTTATTTGCAGCATTAGCTATCATTATTTGTTTTGGTTTTGATTTTGCAAGCCATATTCAGACAGAATCTATGCTTCACTACTGTAGTATAGAGTGGTACTTTAAGAATAATCTCAGAGAATTTATGTTTTTTATAGTGAATAAAATGTATTATTTTTTATAATATAATAAAAATTCAAATAGTATCAGTTACTCTAATATCTTTAATAGGAGGAAATTAAATGTGAAGGGCTAGAGTAATTTCTGAAAATTGGATGGTTGCATTAATGGTGATACTGTTAATATATATTTTTGCTTAACTCTTTTTGAAGAACATTTAAAATTCTGTTTCCTGTCTTCAACAAAAAATTCATCTTTATATTTTATATGCAGAACTTGCTTGTCAATCAATTATATAGCTTAAATGAAGATAATTAAAATTTGGTTAAATTATATGGACATATTGCTCAATAGCTTTGTATCTTGTGCTTTAAAAAATTAGTTGTATTGAGTTATCAAGTTATAAGAAGTCTGACTCCATATTTTGGTGTGTGAGCGCTGACAGGTGTTAAGCCTCACCCTGTTTTCTTCCCCTTCTGCCCCACATCTAGCCAAGCTAAAAAGAGAGCCCAGATGTTCACTCTTTTGGCACTAGTTCAAAACATGTATAGGAACTTTTGCCCTGGCCCACCCCTAACCACCTTAAAAACCCAAAGCCAATCTCCTTTCTCTACTCTGTCAAGCCATTTTCAGACCAGCTTGGGAGGCCTGGTCTTCTCTCCCCAGAAAATGTTATTATGGAGTAGTAAACCTTTTCATATCCTACTGGAGTGTGTGATGTCATCAATCTCAATATCCAAACCAAATTTGGGATGAGACTCAATCTTGCTTCTTCAGAGTGTCTACAACATATTACAACTGTATTAAATTAAGCCTTCTCAAACGTTTTGGAAGTCAAAAGCATGATATGACTAATGATAGAAAGGATTTAAGGAAACATTGGACTATGTTTTTAAAAATCTTTAACAGCTGGTTGAAAGATAAAAATTTTAGTTAAAAAATTGGGATTTTTCTTTTTGTATCAATTTTTAATTTTACTGACCTTGTGATTTAATTAATTGATAGTTTTGGTGTAATAAAGACATGGACATATATGAGAAAGGATAAAAATGTTGCAGTTGATTTGTTATTAATTAAGAGGTTCAAAACTGGCTTCAGCCTTGAAAGGCCCACTGGTTTCATGGCTTAGTTTTACTTTAAATAGAAAAATGTATAGCGTACCAGTATGGTTAGATTTATCATGTATCAGTATAAGAGGTAAAATAAAATAAGTGTTTCTAAAGTATCTACAGTGTGTTTAATGTCTTGAGAGCATGTAAAAGAGCTAAAAGATACAGTTTTATACTCAAAAAACTTACAATTTAGTTGAGAAGACAAAACTTAGGAAACAACAAAAACACATTAGAATAAAATAATTGACAATTTTATTCTATAGTTTATAATTTGGTCTGTGCTAGAGAAGAGACTGAGTATTTTAAGAATTAGATAAAGAAAGATCATCATGGATTGGAAAGCCTGGGAAGGATTCATTGAAAAGGTATGATTTGCATTGGAACTTTAAAAGTATGTAGATTGTAAAATTTTTGAGTGTAATATTTGATGCCTTTTTTTTATCTTTGCATTTTTTACTGCCTAACTCTAGTAGCTAGTGTTTAGTAAGATTTCATTAAATGCTTGTTGAATTAATAGAGTTGAGCTGAACTGGTGAAGGAAGTAGGGAGGACCTTCTAGGTAAGGGAAACCATATGTGCAAAAGAAAATGTAATCACAAATATAATATGTGTGGAGGAAATTCAAGAGTAGGCCGAATTGGAGTGGACGATAACAGTAGGAAATTGAATTTAATAGATATGGTAGGACTGATTTGTGGAGGATCTTCAAGTGTTTTGACTTGATTTCTGAGGCCAATAAATGCCAGAGTTGCATGAGGAAACAAATGGCTAAGAAAGACTAACTGGCAATATAGTTAAGAGTTGGGAGAAATTAGATTTAAAACAATTAGGAGGCAATTGCATTGGTCCAGGTATGCAGTGGTAAGTTCCAGGTGATAATAACTGTGCATGAAATCTCCCTCTGCCTTCCTTTTATAAGAACATGTGGTTGCATTGAGGCCCCTCTGGATAATTCAGATAATCTTCTCATTTTGAGATCATTAACTTAATCACATCTGCAAAGACCCTCCCCTCTTTTTCTTGTTATATAAAGTAACATGCACTGGTTCCAGGGAGTAGGAAATGGGTATCTTTGGGGAGAAATTTTTCTAGCTTATTATATAGGAAATAGTGTTGTATACTTTCTTTTAGTCTTTAGCATTATTCAGTCAAAACACCATTTTCCAAAGTTACTTAGGCTAGCTCCTATCTTCCCCACTGCCTTGATTATGATCATGTCACTTATTCATAATACAGTTAGATTTATTTGTGGCCATCTGCATTTCATCTTGAGTTTATTTGAATTCCTGGTTGATCCCTTAGTACATAGTAAAACTCTGTCTTTTTGATGTGCAGCTCTATCCATTTTAACAAATAGAGTCATGTATCCACCACTGCAGTACATACAGAACAGTTCCACCACACCTAAAATTCCCTAGTGTTGACCTTTTGTAGTCAACCTCTCCCTCTGCTTCCAAAGCCTGGAAACAGTGGATCCGTTTTCTGCCCTTATAGTTTTGTCTTTACCAAAATGTCATATAAATGGAAACATACTATATGTAGCCTTTGGTTTCACTTAGCAAAGTTATTTAAGCTTCATCCATGTTGTTGCATCAATCAATAGTTTGTTCCTTTTTATTGCTAATTATTAATATTGTATGGATATAGTACAATTGGTTTGTTTACCTGTTGACAGGCAGTTGGGTAGGTTTTAGTGATTATGAATAAAGTTGCTATAAACATTTATGTATGGGATTTTATGTGAATATAAATTTTATTTCACTTGTTTAACTTTATAAGAAACTGCCAAATTTTTTTCCAAAGTGACTGTACCATTTTCATCTCTACCAGCAATGCATGAAGGTTCCAGTTGCTTCATCTTTTTGTCAGTACTTGGTATTATCAGTTTTTAAGATTTTAGCCATTCTAATCAGTATAAAGTGGTATATCATTGTAGTTTTAATTTGTATTTCCCTAATGTCTGATGATGTTGAACATCTTTTCATATGCTTATTTTCCATCAGAATGTCTGTTTTCATTTAAAAATTGGGTTGTTTTCTTATTGTTGAATTATGCAAGTGCTTTATGTATTCTAGGCACTAGTTCTTTATTAGATACGTGATTTACAGCTATTTTTCTCCCCATCTGTGCCTTATCTTTTCATTTTCTTAACAGTGTCTTTCATAGAGAAAACATTTAAAATTTTGATGAAGTCCAGTCTATAATTGGATCATACTTTAGGTGTCACATCTAAAAGCTCTTTGCCAAACCCAAGGTCATAAATTTTTCTCCTATTTTTCTGTTTTAAGTTTTAGAATTTTGCATTTACATTTATGTCTGTGGTAAATTTTAAGTTAATTTTTATATAAGATGTGAGGTATGTATCAAGATACATTTCTTTGCATCATTTGTTGACAAGACTACCCTTTCTCATTGAACTCATTTGTACTTTTGGCAATAATTGACTGACCATGTTTGTATGTCTATTTTCAGGCTCTCTGTTCTTTTCCATTGATTTATATGTCTATCCTTTCACCAATACTGTATTGTTTTGATTACTGAAGATTTATAATGAATCTTGAAATTCGGTCATGCAAGTACTCAAACTTTGCTCTTTTTATTTATTTTATTTTCTAAAATTCTCTTTTTTTCTTTATTTTTCAAATTGAGGTATAGTTGATATACATACAATATTATATGTTTCAGGTGTACAAGATAGTGATTTAAAATTTTAAAGCCTATGTTCCATTTATAACTATTATAAAATATTAGCTATATTCCCTGTGCTGTACAATATATCCTTGTAGATTATTTTGTATATAGTAGTGTGTACCTCTTAATCCCCTACCCCTATCTTGTCCCTCCCTTCTTGCCTCTTCCTACAGATAACCACGCCTATGTTCCATTTATAACTATTATAAAATATTAGCTATATTCCCTGTGCTGTACAATATATCCTTGTAGATTATTTTGTATATAGTAGTGTGTACCTCTTAATCCCCTACCCCTATCTTGTCCCTCCCTTCTTGCCTCTTCCTACAGATAACCACTGGTGTTCTCTTTTTCTGTAGATCTGTATCTTTTTGTTATATTCACTAATTTGTTGTATTTTTTATGTTCCACATGTAAGTTATATCATACAGTATTTGTATTTCTCTGTCTGACTTATTTCACTAAGCGTAGTACCCTCCAAGTCCATCTGTGATGTTTTGCAAATGGCAAAAGTTTATTCTTTTTATGGCTGAGTAGTATTCCGTTGTGTGTGTGTATGTGTGTGTCTGTGTGTATACACTTAGGTTGCTTCATATCTTGGCAACTGTAAATAATGCTGTTATGAACATTGGGGTGTATGATCTTTTCAAATTAGTGTTTTTGTTTTTTTGGATATATACTCAGGAGTAGAATTGCTGGATCATATGGTAGTTCTGTCTGTTAGCTTTTTGAGAAACTCCATAATGTTTTCCACAGTGGCTGCACCAATATACATTCCCACCAATAGTGTATGAGGTTTCCCTTTTCTCCACATCCTCGCCAACATTTGTTATTTGTGTTCTTTTTGATGATAGACATTCTGACAGGTGTGATGTGGTATCTCTTTGTGGTTTGATTTACATTTCTCTGATGATTAGTGACATTGAGCATATTTTCATGTGCCTGTTAGCCATCTGCATTTCTTCTTTGGAAAACTATCTATTCAGTTCTTCTGCCCATTTTTTGTTGTTGTTTTGTTTTGTTTTTGTTTTTGTTTTTGTTTTAAATTTTTTTATTGAGTAATAGTCATTTTACAATGTTGTGTCAAATTCTAGTGTAGAGCACAATTTTTCAGTTATATATGAACATACATATATTCATTGTCACATTTTTTTTTGCTATGAGCTACCACAAGATCTTGTTTATATTTCCCTGTGCTATACAGTATAATCATGTTTATGTATTCTGCATTTTAAAATCCCAGTCTGTCCCTTCCCACCCACCACCCCCTTGGCAACCACAAGTTTGTATTCTATGTCTATGAGTCTGTTTCTGTTTTGTATTTATGTTTTGTTTTGTTTTGTTTTTAGATTCCTCATATGAGCGATCTCATATGGTATTTTTCTTTCTCTTTCTGGCTTCCTTCACTTAGAATGACATTCTCCAGGAACATCCATGTTACTGCAAATGGCATTATGTTGTCGGTTTTTATGGCTGAATAGTATTCCATCATGTAAATATATCACATCTTCATTACTCAGTCATCTGTTGATGGACATTTAAGCTGTTTCCATGTCTTGGCTATTGTAAATAGTGCTGCTATGAACATT